TGCTGCTGTGCTCGCCCGGCGGCTCAGCATGACGGTGTGCGATTTGACGATGGGAATGATGGGGAGTGTTTCCCCACCCTCATCGACAGGGTGGGTCATCAAAATTGTTTTAGATGGTACAAAACAGCAGTTATAAACCGTTACTTAGTACAACTGCTTGTACTACGGATTCGAATAAACAATTCATTACCGTTAAAACAAATGGACACGCCAGTTCAAAATTTGAAGCACCCCTACCACTGATATTACCGAGCACCACCCCTCAAAAACGATGGGGTACACCACCACCGGTATCCTATGAGAACAGCATACGCATTCCTCTTTTGCGTTAATAAAGACCAACGCGGTTTGACCCCAGAATGTTCCGTACCTTGAGGGTTCCCTGAGCCTGCCAAGAGTCATAGCCGGGCTTGACATGACGAGGTCTTCGATTCCCATCCAACGCTCTCTGTGAAGTTGATATCATGAGCTGCCAGGCTCCCTTGACCTTGGAGGTGGTCGGCGACCGCATTCCTTGTCTGAGTCCTCCGCTAAGATGATCCGACTCAGTGATGATAGTACTGTCTTCTTTGATCAGACCCCTTGTTCTCCCATGTCCATGACTTCAGGGTGATACTTCCAATCTCCCCTTGAGCGTAGCTGCATATCCTGCCATGATGCTGCCATCCACGAGTCCTAGGTTCTTGCTGTCTTCTTCATGATTCGAAGTTCTCCTACGTAGTCCTTATTGTAGCTGTTGCTGTCCCAGGCTCTCCAGGGGTGCATTCCGAGGCTCAGGCTAAGCATCTGTGCACCCAGTCGGAGCCACGCCGATGATTACTCAGTGGCCGCGATTCACGGTCCGAGGCCGCGTGAGGCCCCCGTGAAGCGGCTTGCTCCTATCAGGTGCCGCAGTGCTTCAATACAGCGCCGGGCGGCCCCGGTAGCCTGAGGCACGGTCAGACACAACTTGAACAGTCGGAGGTCAACATAACATCATGGGCATGCAGTGCCTGAGGCCGCGGGCTTCCGGAGTGAACTTGGAACACTCAGTGGCCCGAAATGATTCAGGGCCACCAAAAATATTTGGAACAACTTGAAAATTGAGGGGGTGATCGGCCTGAAATCTTTGTGTGTCACGCTCCTCCAAATTTCAAGTTGTTCCATATAGTTTGGAGCAAGTCCAACCTACATGGAACAACTTGAAAATTGAGGGGGTGATCGGCCTGAAATCTTTGTGTGTCACGCTCCTCCAAATTTCAAGTTGTTCCATATAGTTTGGAGCAAGTCCAACCTACATGGAACAACTTGAAAATTGAGGGGGTGATCGGCCTGAAATCTTTGTGTTTCACGCTCCCGGAGTCCAAATTTCAAGTTGTTCCATATAGTTTGGAGCAAGTCCAACCTACATTGAACAACTTGAAAATTGAGGGGGTGATCGGCCTGAAATCTTTGTGTGTCACGCTCCTCCAAATTTCAAGTTGTTCTATGTAGTTTGGAGCAAGTCCAACCTACATGGAACAACTTGAAAATTGAGGGGGTGATCGGCCTGAAATCTTTGTGTGTCACGCTCCCATCGCAAGTCAGCTTTGATGCAGGCTTTGATGGCCATTATGGCCTTCACAGGCGTGGCTGGCCCTCCGAAGCTCAATCATGATGCATCGCCAATACGATATCAAATATCAAAATAAAGAATATCAATGTTGAAAGTTTCCCGCCACTGTGAACTCTGCGAAGCCGTACAGATATGAGGATGTGCAGCGTTTGACAGAGCAAGACAAGTCAGGTGGGCATTTATCTCTTTTTTTTTTCATCGAAATTATCACGGGAAGAGATCCAAATGACGTGTTCTTGATGCAGGTTGGAATGATTTGCAGCCTTTGGCAACTTGTATGAGATTGATGAATGGGTGAAGACTTTGGCAAGTGCCCAACCAATATTACAAACCGGTATCCAGGAGTACGTAGACGTACCAGTAAGCCGCCCAGCATACAAAACTCTCGAGACAATGGCTGCATACGAAGGGGTTTTCGACACATCGCAGAACTGTCCCGATGTGAAAAGGTTGTGACATGAAATGGGCACAAACAAAGATAAGTTCAGGACTCGGGAGTCAGTCAAGTCTAGGCAAAATATTGACATGGTCATCTCACTGCATGGAAGAACATGCAAAACTGAAGGAAAAGCTCAACGGAAAGTTCTAAATGAACAGATACAGCGCATTTTAGCAGTCACGGTCGGAGCAGCTCGATGCTTGAAACAAAGATGATCCTCAATACAATCGAATGATGACAAGTAAGTCCCATGGTTCGTGAAGAATTCTTCATCCAATTCTTAAGGATGTGTTTGAACGATGAAACATTTTGCATATCACCAATTTCATCACACTGACTGATGCATCATGTAAATATTACTGGTGTGAACTTGCATCAGATTCTGTTCATCGGATGAGCCGCTACCAAGCAGTTGATGTCACAGCAAACAAGAGAGCCGTTTTGAAGATGCTGATATTCCTGACCGTAGAGCATTCAAGATTTGGCCACATGTCACATGCTTCTTGGTTAATGCAGATACACCCTCGCCAGGCAAAAGATGGAACCCGTCTTCAGGATTACAGGGAGGTCGGTTGTGCTTGTACCCTGATTGTAACTCGTCTAATAAAGATATGATAACCTGAATGTGCAATTCTGTTTGTTGATTCACAGTGTTTGCGACTCGATTGCAATCATCGAGTGCTTGCTCTGTTGAACAAGGCACTCCTCTGTAGAGCCATGCGACAAGAACACTACAGTTGCACGGTAGCATTGCGACACCAAGACAGGATTGATCCGATGAACGTCTCATTTATTGATACGCAAAGGCATCATCTGCACATTGTTTCATTTCTGACTAGGTTTCTGTGCAATCGAAATCCTTGTGAAAATATCATGACAGAGGAAAAATTTGAAGCGAAACGGAAAAATCATCGAAATATGATCATGGATATAGTGATTCATGATCAACAACGGTTCTCTACAGTCATCTATGCGGGCAGGAACAGTCATCTTCTGTGCAAACGTCTCTTCATGTATCGTTGAACGGTTGAGTGCATGTAAGACTTGCCTCCATAGAAAGGTGAAGTGCATGAATCCTGACTGTAAGACTAGAAGAATTGAAAGCAAGTGATGACATGAGAACACATATCTAGACAGAAAAGTCGCTCAAGGTACAGCTGGATACAAATTTCTCACAAATCACAGTCATGCATTTGAGCGCAACGTGCAACATACGGCAATTTGAATAAAGGGTCAATCAGGATACAAATTTCTCACAAATCACAGTCATGCATTTGAGCGCAACGTGCAACATACGGCAATTTGAATAAAGGGTCAATCAGAGTTGATTCTGTTCAATGGTGTATCAATTATCAGTTCCTTACCTGATCATAAAGATTTCATCTTGTCTTCGAAGAATATTTGCAAGTACACCCGCGGATTGTTTGAACCAAGGGCACATATTCCATTGCAGGATGGATGATTCAAACCTTGGCCCAACCTGTAGAGTTGAGAAAGAAGCTCGATCATCTCTTACAGGTATGATATGAGATCTTCATCTCATTTCTATCTCAGTTGGGTTGGATTCGAAGTCTCTCAATATCAAGGTTCATCCTGGTGAGTCAGGAAGGCACCATTTCATCGCTTCTTGCTCGTCCAGGGAGAGGGGGCTTGGGGAATGAGAAATGGGGGTTACCCCCACCCCCTATTGTAGAGTTTCAAACTGGTTCAAAGGTGGGTAGTTGAGGGTGCTCCATACCCACCCCACCACCCAAAATGACTCAAACGGAGGGGTTCTCGGATCCGAAGGAGTCCCGCCTCCATCATACCCCCTCTCATTTGAATTGAATGGTTCAGGCCGACCCCACATACAGGCTTGCAGTTTTCTTATGTATGCCCATATGATTTGATCGGACAGGCCCCAGGTTCAAGGGATGAAGCAATTCACCAGCATGCTTGAAGATTTTTCATGGAAGTGGGGTTATACTTGTACCGGATGTGTACAATACATAGGGGAGAACCCCGAATGGTACCAAAAGAGTACAAAAGTCACATGGTTCGGACTGTACTAACTGGTACCAAGAAATTGTACTCAAGAAGACCCTACCCCTGAAAAAGTCCTGCTTGGCTCTTCGTGATTTGAATTCGGAACACGTTCGGAAGACCCATCCCGCCCCCACATGAGGCGTGTTGTGCGTGGATTTGAATCTACCACCCTCACCGCGAAACGTTTTAGAGCTCCAAGGTCAATTGAGAAAGGCAACGCTATGTCAGTAGAACCACCCTCCTCGTATCATCCGGAAGGGCTCTGTTCTGATCCTCTCCCTTGTACGGTGGGACTGGCATGCGACGCCCTTCCGCTCTACCTCCAGTGGCTCAACCTTGCTTATCGCAACATTCAAGTTTGGCTCCACTACCTGTTACTGGCATGAGGCGTCGAGATCTACCTTGGGCTTTACGGGCGACACCATGTCGCTCGGCTCACCCTTCTTTATCTCCAATGGGTTTGTTCAAGCGGAGGCTCTCCCCCAAGTGCCGAACTCCTGCTCGTCAGTCCAGCTTGCGCATCTACCGGCGTTCCTTCTTTCGACGCTGGGTAGCTCAGGCCCAGAGGCGCAGACTCGGCAGCACTCCTTTCTCTCCTGCTCTGCGTCGTGTATCCAGAGGGAATCTGCTCGGGTCCCCTTCCCTCCTCCAGTCGCCTCCCGTGGCTCCTCTCTCCCCCTCCCCCACCGCCATTGTCGACCTCACCCCCCCCCCACTCAGCGGTCGCAACCTGACTGAGGGCTCTCCGCGGGTCGAGCCCGCCTCATCACAAAGGTCTTTTGTGGATGCTGACAATGGCCAGACCGGGGAGGGGGAGGGGGAGGAGGACAAGCGCCCAGCGGCCCCTGGTGCTGCTTCCCCCTCCTCTCCGGACTCCTCATCATCCAGCTCGGATGATGCCTACCGCCGACTGTTTCAGCTTGATTCCTCAGCTGATGTTTCTCAGTCTCCAGCTGCAGGCGCTGACTCTCCGCCGCCCCTCTCCGGGGGCCCTGCGAAGGCATCCGATGCATCAGCCTGTGCTGCGAATGTCCTGCCTGACGAGGATGATCAACCTGACCTTGCTGATGCCGACCCTGATTCTGCTACGGATGTGCCCCCGGTTCCACCTATGGCCACCTCAGATTGGCCGAAGGGCTTGCAGTGGTTGATGTCCAACCTCCGAGTTTTCCTCTATATTCATAAGCGCTTTCGTCCTCATGTCACTGCGTCTCACCTCTTTGGTGAGACTGCAGAGCTTTGGCTGACTTGTCTTGTGTCTTTGCTGCAATTCATCGATCGATATGATCCTTCCTCGTCCAGCTATCAGACCCTCGTGCATGCAGGTTTAGCTTGTTCCTGCTTTGTTTTGCTTGAGGCACTTTTTACCTTCTGCCAGTAAATCCTATACCACTTGTTCTGCTCTTTGAGCACCTTCCCGCCTTTTTGCTTCCCGTACCCAACTCTGCCAATGGTCCTACCAAGGACGCGCTTATCAAGCGCCAGTGCCGACGTTTCTTGAAGGGTGAATGGAAAGCTCTTTTCAAGCGCTATCTGCCTGCTGCAGAAACCCATGGGAAGAAGCAAGCAAAGGGGGCGCGGCAGCCTTCACCGCCCCAAGGACAGCAGCAGCAGCAGCAGCAGCAGCAGCAGCAGCAGCAGCAGCAGCAGCAGCAGCAGCAGCAGCAGCAGCAGCAGCAGCAGCAGCAGCAGCAGCAGCAGCAGCAGCAGCAGCAGCAGCAGCAGCAGCAGCAGCAGCGGTCACCTCGGCACCTGCAGCCCTCGTCCCTCCCACAGCAGCAGCTGCAGGAGTCCGAGCAGCTGCAACCGCCCCAGCAGCCCTCGCGAGGGCGGCGGCAACGGCAGAAACAGCAACGGCGGCGGCAGCC